CCCCCCCCCCCCCCCCCACACACACACACACACACACACATACACACACACTTTTCCAGAAGGCAGTATTGGACTCCTGCACTTTTTACAGTGCAAAAAATAACATTATAATATTTAAAAAGAAAGTCAAGCTGCAGCAATGAACAGGCCCTTGCCCCTTGTGCACATTGGGAGATTGGCGGAACGCAGGTTGGCGCTACTATGCAGTTCTGTGACCAACCAACATTTCCTGAGTGGAGTACATGGGGCTGGAAATGTTGTACCACTTCTTGTGTTCACTATGTGATGCTAGAGAACACGCTAATTAATTGGCATGTTGCTGTATATGACAAAAACCGCCCACCATGTCAATTTCATGTCAATTTGATGATATTTGTCACATAGGCTGACTTCCTTTGGTCAATAGATGGCACTATGACTATGACGCAATATGGGCCTACTGACCGCCTTGCAATAGCAACGCTGTTCCACCAAAAAGTAAAAGCTTAGCACTGTGAAAGTCTTGAGACTCTGTTGAACAAATTAGAGATGTATCTCCTAGGAGTGTAAAAACGTTCCAGCCGTTACCTGTTAACTTCCTAAAATGCCGTATTGGCACATGACCTCATGACATCATCGTACGAGGTATTGACTATTCCTTTGCAAGATAGCAACATAGCCGGAATGTTACACCAATGAATCTGATACTCTAGGAGGAGTTCGAAAATGTTTGCCGAAAATGAATGTAAAATGCACAATATTTAAAACGAACAACTTCCGGTTGGAAGGAGGTAAGTAAATGCGGTATGAAATATATATGTGAATATTGAAGCAACTATGTTCCAAACGAAGGTCTTCCAAACACTGGAACTGGGTATATTATGTCGAAAAAAGTCTTAAAAAAGTCATGGTATATATGTCGAAAAATGTTATGCATAACATGTCGAACAAAGTCAGTATAACATGTTGAAATATGTCCTACAAATTGACAGTGATGTGGAAAAAAGTCATTGTATAGCGTGTCAAAAAATATTAGTATATTATATATATTTATTTATATAGATATATATATATATTTATAGTTTTACACTGAAGAGCAAGCATGAGGCCCACACGACACTCAGTAATAAATATATGAGCGCAACATAAACACGAAGGGACGTTTTTCAGTGTTTATGACTTCCATTCTGTTTATATTTCATTTCAACATCCGGAGACATGTCTGGGCACGCTTCATTATCTTTACACAAATACAGGGTTATTTTAATTACACTGTCACGGATACTTTCTCTGATGTGACACTGTTAACAGTTTGGAAGATCAATGAAGATATTGCAAATAAAAGGAGACTTTGGTGGTGCAATAAAATGTTATGCTATCTGATGCTATTTGTTCTGACTTTCAAGTAAAAACTATAACAATTTGGATGAACTGACCCCTGAAGTAACATCACAGTGAAATGAAACATGGTGGTAATGCACTTTGCGGTGAGAAAGTAAAGTTTCCTAGTGATGCAGTGGGTTTCTTAACTTGTGAGTTTACGAGCTGACGTACGGCCTCTCACAGCTGCAGTCACATAAACACTTGTCTTCTGCTTGTGATCCGTTTCACCCATTCTCTCATTCAAACACACACACGCCAAAATAAGATAAACACTGGGAACCCCAGTCTCTTCTACTCTGTTATAATTTATTCAGCAGATGACGCAGAGAGTGTGTGTTTGTGTTACATCTTCTTGTAGTTGTGAAATTTGTATATTTTTTAAGTGGAGGCCAGAATGGAAAAGCACCCCGAGTTACTTTCAAGTTTTTTTTTGTCCACACATGACGAAGCATAATTTGTGGACAAATCCCGAGTTAAAACGAGGTGTCTGTACTAAAAGTTTTGAAATAAAAATAAAAAGCAATTGAGGTATGGAGGGGTATCATTTTGTCTTTACAAAATCTCAGTAATACACCTTGTGTACTTAAATCAAATTAAAAAGCGTATATTCAATGTTTTTTGGGAAGAGATTGAGAGTAAATCAAAATTCCAGCTGGTGCTTATGTGTAGTTAAGAAAGAAAATCTAATTTCATTAAAATACATAATACACTTTTATTCAGAGGTCCTTGAATATTGTTCAATAACTTGCTAAACAAGTGTAAACAAATGGAAACATTAGGAAACATAAAATGAATTCATACTTCTATGTTTTATGTGTTAGTTGGCTTAGAGGAATTTTATCCCCTCTGATTCCCGAACACCCAACTTTACGGGAAACTCTTACTGTAAGCGACAGGAAAAAGCCCATAAATAGTGTTTAAACACAGTTCATCCTCTCTGCATTAAATCACAGTTTAATTATGCAGAAACGTCTGACTCATACGCTCAGGAAGTACGACCTCCTTCTACAAACTCCTTTATAAAGGGCACAAAACTTGCTCCTGATCGAAAAGACCTCACTGCAGAGCAATATATTTCCTATTTATTTTATAACCTATTCCTTATTTTCATTGAGCTACTTTTTTTTTTTATTCATTTTTTATGTTCCTGAATCTTTTTTCCAAATGTTTTTGTTTCGATGCAGCTCTTTCTCTTACCTGTCTTCTTTTCTCTTAATCATCCCGATTCCTTTCTCTCTATCATTTTATCTCACTGACTCCAACCCACTTTTATCCTTCAGTACTCAAGTCAGAGAGGTTCACCTCTACACAGGTATTTTTAAAAGCCTACTTGTCATTTTAATAATTTGATAATATAATGAATGCAAATATGTAGATATGAATCAGATAGTGCTGCTCTTTAAAGACCTTACATTCTTAATAATGCAGATTTCTGTCGTTCTTCTTGTTGCAGATAATCACAGAAGGGGGATGTATCTACAGATGACTCTGGATGGGAGAGTGTCCGGCAGCGATGTTCAGACCACTTACAGTGAGTATTTGTGAGATAAATCAGGAACAGAAAGCATATGTGGGCTCAGTTTAGGATATTTTCCTTTCAAAAACATTCACACAATACACCGGATAATTTGAGGTCTATTTATGTTTCTGTGCTTTCAGGTGTGCTGGAGCTGAAATCAGTTAAATCAGGCCATGTAGTTATCAAGGGACAGTCCTCATCTATGTTTCTCTGCATGGACAGTGGGGGTCGTTTGAGTGGACAGGTACAGTAAGCAAAGAATACTTTATTTTCCTAAAGTCGCCATCCTTCCTGTCGTCACTGACAGTTTACTATCTGTTCATCCTTTTAGGGGCAGTACTCAGAGGCCGACTGCACCTTCAAAGAACTGCTGCTGGCAGATGGATACACCCGTTTCCTTTCCTCGCACAACGGATTTCCTCTGTCTCTGGCATCAAGACATTCCCCAGATCGACACACAGTCCCCTTCACTCGCTTCCTACCACTTCGGATTACTTTGGCAGTGGAGAGTGTGTCTGGACAGCCACCAAACAACCAGAGACATTTCAACGTGGACTCTGATGATGTCCTTGGAATGGGTCTGAATACTATGGTCAGTCCTCAGTTCTCAGTGGACAAGTAAAGAAAATGAATTGTAGAGATCTGTAACTTAATATGTGAAGTATTTTTTTATTGATCAGGGATCTGATTTTGTTCTCAACATGTTTCTCATGAACATACAGTATTATTGTAACTTATTTATTTATTGTGTTTGTGGTGTATTTCTAATGGCTATTTAAAAACTAACTAAGATTTTACAGTCAGTGCTTTGAGAGCGTGTTTGTGTCTGTGTGAGAAACAGACAGTGTTTGTACGACTCATGTTTATCAGACTAGAGAGAAGTTCTGAATGAAAATAAACATGGTATAAATTTTACATTTGTTTGTCTGAATCTGTCATGCAATGATACAGACATCCAGTGAAACAATTAAACAAACCAAGAAGGATCCATTAACGAAACGAGGAAGACCAATGACCAGAGCTGTCATGGTGGAGGAGTGAGCAAGTGGGATGAATATTGTGACAGCGGGAGCGCTCTCTGCTGGACAAATAAGTAATGATGGAAAATAGTCCAGGTTCTCTGCCTGTAAACTTGTATAAAATTGGGTATGTATATAATAGTGCTATTGTTGTTATTATGAGCCTATATTACTGTTATTTGAACGTAGTCCTGAAAGTTAGGAAATAGTCACAAAAAGAAAAAACAACAGCAGATCCGTGAAGGTTAACAGACTAAAGCAACTGTTTTGGACCAAAGTCACCTACAGTTCAAATCCATGGCTTAAATGTCTACAGCTATAAGAGGTCCATGGTTCATTGTAGGGAAATGTCATTGGTTTAAAACACAATCTGATATCTGAGATTTTGTATATTAGACTCACTGCTCAATACGACTCTAACGACCATAAACCAAGACAAGCGGTTGATCCAAAACTGGGCCTAGAGGTGGACCAGGTGACGCAGCACAGCAGACAGCTAAGCCTGAATATAATTTAAAGAGTGAGTTGTATAAAAATGTACCTGCGTACAGTTGTCATGAACAGGGATATTAGCTATAGAGACCAAAACAGTTGTTTGTACCGTGCTGTAAACATGTGCCGTATAGTTGGGCATTTTAAACATGTAGATCGAAGATGATTGACTCGCTTTTAGAGCTATACCCTGACCTGCCCTGGAGGTTGCTGCTTGGGAGGCATGTGAGAAAGATAAAGTTTTCCTCAAGAATTCAAAATAACACACGGTGAGTTTTTGATATACAAATTGTCATTTTAAGGTTGAAAAATGTCTTTTTTTTAATCCTATTGATTTTATTGTATATACATTCTCAGTGCTTGGTTGGTAATCTGCACAGGTGGTACGTTTATAGGTTTGTTATTCTGCAAATAGTTTATCTTAATTCATTTACCCTTCACGGAGAGTTAAACTAACACAAACTAAAACAAATAATTGAAGCCATTTACACAAGCAATGTTACTTTAGTACACATACTTTCCATGGGTCATCACTGTGATGTTGTGGGAAGTCGAATGTGTTCCAGTTAAACTGAGAACAACATTATTGGAAGCTACTTATAACAGCGTAGTAGTTGTGGAAAAGGTCAGCCATAAAAGTGAAACACAGATTGGATCCGGCAGACCTCTGTGTCTAAATGTTGTGATTAGAGATGCAGTAGGCGAAGCAGTGAAGGATTAGTTGTTGTATTTCTAAAATAACATTGCTATAACTAATAGGCAAATATGATTTTTTTTCAGTGGCACCAGCACTTTTTAACAACTAAATACCACAGGCAACCATGAATGGCACTGCTTTTTTTTAAAGAAAATTATTAAAATATAATCTTTATTAAACACACCGAGTCCATAATTAAGCAGGTAAATGCAGAAGGTTTGTTATAGCAATCAATACATTCCTCTTTAACATAAACCTGCCATTAAGTAATGCAGCAGTGTTGTATTACAGCATGATAAAGGTCACGTCAGTCACTTCAGGTCACATGAGCCAAAACTACACAAATATGAACTTTGTACATTACTTACAGAAGAATGATGAGAATGTGGGGTTGGTTTACGAGAATCTCAATCTGTCTGCAGCGACAACTCTGCTGGTGTTTGGTTAAGTTTCGGGGAAACTTGACATCTATGTTGCCAATAATCTATCTGCTTCCACTTCAAACATGAAGCCAAAAAGTGACAGTACTAAGACATTAGTTTCAACGCACAGAACACACATTCAGAAAGAAATTCATTTTTTTCAAACACAAGCTCTAATCGCATTAATAAATAACAACTCATATTATATTTATATCAAGACCCTGAGAATGTAAAACTGAATGTCTTTTTCTTGCCTTTCTTTAAAAAGTTGTCTTTCAGCGACATTTGGCTGACTAGTGCTGTAAATACCTATAAATGAAGAGAGGCAATAAAAAGTACTGAGTAGGCATGTTAGCGTTATATTTATAGTTTTACTTTCCAATATCTTTTTATCTAATTTCATTCATTGTGTTTCGTTCAGATTTTTCATTCACCTCGTCATTTTTTAATGTCTTTGTCAAATGGTACAAAACAATGCTTACCCACCCTACACTTGAGTAACCAGTGATTCACTCAGATACGTGTTACCTCCTCTGAACTCTGTGCTCTGCCCTGTGCACACTCCATCCAACAGAGTCCCATTCAAAGGGTTGCAGCTGCCTTCAATGGCATAATAATCTGCCTCTGCGTCTCCATCCCCTTCCTCTATTTCCTGCCCTTCTGGCCCCTCGTCCTCCCGCAGACTCATCTGGATGTGAGTGTACTCGTTATGATCCACACATTCAGTCTCTCGATGGTAGAAGTAGCTAAAGTTGGACACTATGACGGGCACTGGCAGCGAGATGGTGAGCACACCGGCAATGGCGCACATTGAGCCCACCAACTTACCCCACACTGTCTCTGGGTACATGTCACCATAGCCCACTGTGGTCATGGTGACAACTGCCCACCAGAAGGCATGTGGTATACTGATAAAATCTGTGTTGGTGTGGTCAGCCTCAGCAAAGTAGATGGCACTGGAGAAGAGGATGACGCCAATAAACAGGAAGAAGATGAGCAGGCCCAGCTCGCGCATGCTGGCCTTCAGTGTTTGACCAAGGATCTGGAGGCCCTTAGAGTGACGAGACAACTTGAAGATCCTGAACACCCTCACTAACCTGATGACTCTGATGATGGCCAAAGATGTGGCTGGAGAGTCATCATTGTCCTTGGCCAGCTCTGTTCCCAGAGTGACAAAATAGGGCAGGATGGCACTGAAATCGATGATGTTCATGACATCCTTGAAGAAGTGCATCTTGCTGGGAGAGCAAGTGAAGCGCACGAGGAGCTCAAAGGAGAACCAGCATATACAGATGGTCTCCACCAGGAAGAAGGGGTCATGGAAAGCACTTTGTGGCAGAGGCATGTTCTCAGACACGTTCTTTGCTTGGGAGTGGTACTTGTAAAAATATTCCTGAAGTAAAGGAGACAGGAGAGACAGGAAAGATATAAAACATCATTGTAAAAGTGTCACTATAACAAGAATGAAAATACACAATTATAACACAATGTTATTTTGCTAATTGTTCTTCAAACTATAAATAATTCAACTCCCGTAAATATGAAGATAAAACCAGCAGCAGGTTAGCTTAGCTTAGCACATAGAGTGGAAGACGGGGGAAACTGCTAGCCTGGCTCTGTCTAAAAGAAACAAAATCCACCTACCAGTATGTCTTAAGCTCACCAAATAACACGTTATATTAATTGTTTATTCTGTGTAAAAACCTAAAGTGTAAAAATGGCACAGCCCTAAACTGAACAACTTTTCTTGACTGGAGTAGTTTGGCACATAACCCTACATAAAACAGCGAATTGGTGTTTTTACACTTTAGTTTTTTGTACGGATTAAAAAAAAACACATAATATTACACGTCTTTATGCTTAACTAAGCCAAGAGATATGAGAGTATTATCTATGATCACATCTAAGCCTACATGCCAGTCAAATCCTTCAACTGTATATCCTGTTATGCTGAAATACTGTTTTTATGGTATTCTCATAAACTGCATATAACTTCAGTACGTTGTTCACCATCTTCTGACACCATCATAAAAGCACTTGACATCTGCGGCTTTAAATTTCAATCGTATAGCTTCGCCTATCTCTTTTTCAGTCCACCTGTCTTTCTGTCCTCCGTGTCTGTTACCAGCATTACGTTCAAGCACTGGATAGTGGCTGTTTAAAACATCTTAACATAAAGAGCGGATGATACAGATACAGTATAAAGGGATCAGCTTAGTATGCTGTAATTGGCTGTGTGTAATATATAAAGTTTCAGGGTAGTATAAACCACGTGTATTCCGAATGACTTTCAGTAGCAGGTCAGTGACAGTGTTTATTACTAAAGGTGGATGTCTATGTGTTGATGTGCTCTAAGGGCTCTCCTAAGACTAAATATAGCCCTGTGAGATCTCCGAAGAGAAACATGAGATCGTCTCCTGGTCCATCTCAACCTTGGCTGCTACCCCGTCTCACTGGCCCCTGCAACCATGTAACATTGCAAGTGCAGTTCAGTGGTGTCTGGAGTAAGTTACAGTAGGTTCCTGGCAGCTCCCTGGTGCAAAGGCAGCCTGGCCTGGCACAGCGGCCCTGGAGGAATGTGTTAACATGACCCAACGTACGCTTATCATTCTGTGAGATCTTTTAGTCTCAGGTTCTAAGCCACCGGAAGGTTTTGACTCACCATTTACCCATGTGTTAGGTCACCTTATACACACACACACACACGTTACCCCCTCCACCCTGTAGCGCTTCCTGAATACGAGTGTATCAAATTTAACAGCCGACTAAAATAATCACACCATAAGTTTCCCTCACTCTCTCACTCTCTCTCTCTCTCTCTCTCACTCTCTCTCTCTCTCTCTCTCTCTCTCTCTCTCTGGTCTGCTCCCAGACATATTGGCAAATAGTCGTCCCCATGTCAGTAGTTTTCTTCTTGAGACATGTAGTACTCAGCCAGTGTGTGTTTACCTAAAACACCTGCTTCCTGTGATATCATGTTTCAGTTTGAGTCAGGCTGTCACAGACTTCCCATTCAAGACCTAATGGTGGTTTGATTTAGGCTGTTGGTATCTCTGTTTCAGCAGGTGGCTTTGAATTATTTGAAGGACATCCATCAATGTAACCTCATGTCCAAACCTTTACCTACCTATACGCCAAATGTGACATTTGATTTAATTCCCAGTTTCTTCTGTCAATGCACATTGCCAGTTCTTTTTATACTCCTGATCACCAAATAATAAAAGGCGGATACTCACCACCTTACATATTGCCATCCACTTAATCTTCAGGACATCTGGAAACTCTAAAAACTTCTCAACCCTGTTCTGCCTCCCAAACATGCACTTTAATCACATTACCTACCTCCCGTGCCTCCTTGTCATTCCTGAAGTCGGGCAGTGTCTCCAGGCAGAAGATGAGGATGGACACCACAATGACCATCACACTGATGATGGCTATGATACGTGCGCTCGATGAGGACTCGGGGTGCTCAAACAGCACCCACAGTCTTTTCTGGATCTCGTTGGATGGAAGCGGCCTCTCTTCCTCTTTTGGAAAACCTTCGTCCTCCTTAAAGCGGTTCACAACGTCCTCTCCCAGCTCGTAGAACATCAGCTCATCCATGAAGATGTCCAGGGGTATGTTTGTGGGCCTCCGAAGCCTCCCGCCCGACTGGTAAAAATACAGAATGGCATCAAAGCAGGCACGGTTTCGGTCCAGGAAGAGCTCGTTTCGAAGTGGGTCAAAGTAGCGTAACCTGCGCCTGGGGTCACCGAGCAACGAGTCAGGGAATTGGGCTAAGGTGCGAAGCTGAGTTTCATATCGCATCCCTGAGACATTGATGGCCAGTCTCTCACTCAGCGCCCATCCACTCCTCCATAGAGACCCAGAACGCCGGCCCTCCTTCTTCTTCTCAGTCTCGTTCCCTTTGGTCTCCTTCTCTCCTTTTTCCTCACAGTTGAGATGGTTGGTCAGCAGTTTACCGCTCTCTCCGTCGCTCTCCTTCCCTCTGCCTCCTCTTTCGTCTTCCTGTGTGTCAATGCTGTCCATTCCTGTGTGTATCGCAGGCCAGGGAGCGCTGCAAACCACTCTCCTGAGGATTCGTAGGACAACTGGACTTAAAAGCAAACCCTGTCTGAAACCAGAGTGATAGTTCCATCAGTGGATTTCAATTTCAATTGATTGGCTTTAATAGATAGTATTAGAACCATATGGCTATAAGGTAGATACTGTAGCAGGGTCTGTTTGTACAAACATTCTCCATGACATATTTAATCGCAGTTAAACATACACATTCACCAAAAAAGTTGCAAAACTTTCCTTTAAATGTTAGTAATTAAATTGAAATCAAAAGGTGAACTGTGGATAAAAAAAAATGGCAAAGAACAAGCAATGTTAGTTTCCAGTTAGCCAGATGAAAGCATTTACTCACTAAGTGTAAAACAGCTGCTGACAGACAGGCAGGATGAAAAATCACATTGTTGGTCTCCTGTGGCTCATCAGGTTGTCTGTGTTTCTCTCTGTCATCATGTTCGTCTGTCATACAAACAAAGTCCTTGTTTGGCTGCGACTTTCGGTCCACTGGCAGCTAAACTCTCTGACCAGGTTGTACACCAAATACACTTCCAGTTGTTAGCTCAGGGATCATCCATGATCTTATCCCGTCCCTTGCTGCCTCACGTTGTCTGTCTTGAAATTTTTTTGGGAATGCTGTCCTGTTGAAATTCAATCTCTGCCAGATCCCTCCAACCCCTCCCGGTCCTTTCCCTCCATTTTAGCTATGAGGCAAGACAACCTTCAACCTCACTATCAAATGTCACCTCTGCCTGGCACTGCATGGTGTCACCCTCTCTAACAAGCATGGTGGTCTGACTGACAGAGGTCCCTCGCTCTTCCTCATTAACTTAAATGTAATTTGACTTGAATGTGTATCACAAAATAAAAACACTTAAAGACAAAATAAAAACGGTGGAACTGACAGCTGTAGAAAAAAACATTTATTGTCTGATTACTACGTTTAATCACAAATTTTGTTAAATTATGTGCTTAATTACTTATACATGGATCAGTTGAAATCGTTTTTCATTTTCAATTTAAGAATGTGCTTATAGTCATGTTAAAGGAACCTGCACAGTATAAGATATACCCATCTTGGAAATCAAGTTGACAATAAAATTAAAGTTGCAAACTTATGATAACCTCATAAATCGCAAACATGCAAAATGGGCGTTAGATCCAATGGAAATATTCTAGTAAAATGCTGTGAATATAATGTGATTCAAGCTATTCCGCTTAAAAGATAAACCTGTTGACCATGACTTTGTGATTTACAGGGAGAAAAAACAACAAAATTGGCCCCTTGCATTTTGGCCTTTGGTTTTTGTATTCAAAATATTAGATGGAATCACAGGGTTGTGTCACATTGCATAGCACTTTCTCAATGCTAGTAATACTTATAATTTATTTCAGTTCATTTTAACTTTGTGTTTAAAACAAAAACAACCAAATAAATAAAGACGAGATCAACCAATCAAGCAGATTTACTGTTATTAGGTCCTCATCCATCTGAATCAAAGCAGACACTACTGTGTATTACCACCAGAGGGAGATGAAGTTTTGGCATAAAGGAGAAAAAACTGAAGGAGGCCTCTGCCGACATTTCCTCAAAGCTGCCTTCAGTCACAGAATAAATACACTTCTCACTGGGTTGCCACATTACATCCCCATTTGATGGCATATCTCATGTCATCAAATGATGTAACTCAGAGTGCAAACTATGAATCTGACAACCCTTTGTGTGAATGTGCTTAAAAAGCAATAAGCTCGAAGATATCTACAGAGTGCAAATAAAAACAAAATATGAATATCAAGCATTGATTGAATGCAGTAAGGGATTCTTCTTGTTTTAGAGGTGTTAATGACATGTATATCAACCACAAGATGACACCCCATAGAAATGCGCTGTTTTTTTAGGATTATGCATCTAAATCTTGGGTAAATCAATACTGTGACAGAGAAATCGTGGCTTCTGGTTCTGTAAAATGGCTTTAAAGTCTTTAGCTCATGCAGCTATGCAGAGCAAACGTGAGGCCTTGTGGCTCCTATGAGATGGCTGCACATACCACCACAGATGCATCACCACCAAGAACATTTTAGAAAATAGATGACTCATCAAGCCACATTGATATTCCTTACACCAGCCTATGGCACATAAGCATTCTCCAAACAGCAGTGCTAAGATGATTTAGCAATCCTGTTCCCCTACGCAGGTGTTCCATTGAGATCTCCTAATTGTCCACTTTTATAACACTTTGATGAACAGAAATTGATGATTTCAAACCCTTTCCCCTCGCTATGATTTACAACGTGTCTGTGATATATGTCGTACAAGATTGTCAGACAACGCTAACCGAACACTGCTAACTGGCATTCTTATTGATAACTCCCCTATGAAACTGGTTCTTTTCAGTTATTTCAAGATATTCTAAAAAATCGTATAATCTCAGTTTTATTCCGTATCAGTTTAGAAATATTACAGATCCTAACAGATCTGCTGTCACAGATATTAGAGGATAAAGTTACAGTTCTTGGATATTGATCATTCTCAAATATCATGCCACAGTTACAATTGACCTCAAAATTATAGATTACAATTGTATGACATGTTTTTAATTTAGATGGCAAGAATGGCTCGATGCAACAGAAACGTATTGGAAAGGCTAGCATCAAAATACACCACATCCGTAAACGTCCAGTTGCAAATGTAATGTGTCATCCTTCGGTTTCTTGGAAGACTTTGGGTTTTCATTGTGTCCACACTTCAAGCCAGATTACATCAATCTCTGTTTTGTGGTATCCCGTTTCTGACAGGCCGATATAGCGTTAACTGTGACAGTCAGCACAGAAGTCAGTGTGCACAGGAGCACACATCTCATCAGTTAGAGATCTCAAACAAACTGACACAACATGGATGTCACTTTTTCATTTATTTTAAGTTCATTTCAATGAAATTAAGCAATTTTTAATGTCTCTGAAAAAGCATCTCATGACTGTTAATCAGTTATTCGTCCAAGCTGCTATGGAGATTGGTTCACATTAGATCGCAATGACATTCATACATTTTAAGTCTCAATAGTAGAAATACGTATGTTCAATTATGACACTTTATTGATATGTTTCTATTTTTTCTTCAAAATATAAAAAGATAGATCATGAACATTCCATTGAAATATACTTTATACAGTTCTTGATGAGTTGTTCTTTGTGTCCCAACATTTCAAAAATAAAATCCGCATAAGTCACCATCAGATACTCCAGTGACCACCTCTTCTCCCCATTCACTCTCCTACTAAGACCGAAGTACAATGGGCTGGTACCTAAGTCTGTTTTATACAATTTGATGGCATGTAAAATGAACATACATCTTTTTTTCTTTGGAATGCTTACGTAAATGCATGATGTTAGCCTGTGATATTAGATGCATGTGTCTCGTTATGACTTTTGTGGTGTTTGTCACATCATTTCTAATTAAAATAAGATACTAAATATACTAGAAAAATCTTTTCAGTATGATAACATTTCCTCTAAAGCAACTCTGGTCTTATCACTTTGTAAAATAAAACACTTTTAGATTAGTGTGATTGCTGAGTCACTTTATGGAAAGCCATAAAGCCACTACACACGTGGTTGCAATCATCTGAACTGATGACAGAACATCTGTGTCTCAGGGAGCATACAGTAAGTGTCGATCAGTGGCATTCGTGGTGCAGATTGCATACAGTGTCCTCAATTTACAAAAACAAAAAACATACTCAACAGAAACAGGCACATAAAGTAAATCAATAGGATATCGTAGAGGATGTGTCAACCCGAGGACCACATAACACCTTCCAAACACCTGGAGAGGACATGTCATAATATTGTCACGATATATGATATATAACACAAAGTAGCCATTAGGTTAACAGTGGCAACTACTTACCATGTAAAGCATTTTTGTTCTTTTGGTTATGTGAGTAACATAAAAGAAAAAGGAAATCTTTAACATGTTATAACAGATTGTGAACTTTAGAAAATAAAACAGACTTAGCACTCTCAACATTGTAACTCATTCTGTTCAATATGACGAAATCAAATGGCAGTATTAAGCAATAGAAAAAGGAAAGACATCTTTCTCAGCCTGGCATTGGCAGAGCAGTCACAATGTCGAGAATGAGGAAATGGTAAAACGTAACGGTGAGAAATAAGGGAAGAAAAAGACAGCACTCGGCCATGAAAACACAAACAGCTGGGTGAAGTTTTTGCAAGTGTGCACGCCATTAACAGAAGTTTACCTCTGAAATATTCATGAACATCTTTGTGACCATCGAAGCCATACTGTAGTTTCTTAATGCCTTCCAAAATGGGAACTGAAATCGTGAGCTTTAAAAAGATACGGGACCAAAACAAAAACCCAAGGACCATTTTTGCAAATAGACAGAAGCTCTATAACCTGTAATAACCTTGAATAGTCTATGTAGTCTACGTCAATATTCTGGTGAGCCTCCAACAATGTACTGGGAATGGACAGAGCACCATTCAGCTGCCTGAGCTGAACCCTGGACCAGCAGGGCCTGAAACTCACTTGGAATACCAAAACGAAGGATAAGGTGCTTGGACAGCACTCAACAATGACATGCTTTTTTTTGTAGCTGTTTTTTAACATGGATCTCCCCTTGGTGGACACTGGTATCTCTCATCCTCTCTTTCTTACAACACTTAACTTAAAGTACTTCACTGACATCATTTTGGAAGCTCTGGGTCTCTTTGATTGGTGCTCACATGACTGTGTTGTGTTCTGTAATGAGCTGCCAACAAGCCAGCTGGATGACGGTAACTCTGTGGGTAATGACGAATGCAAAGACCTGACCATCTAAAAAAAACCGAAGACGAGCTACCTCTACACACTCATGCTGACACTGTGAGTGCGAGTAGTTTTCAGTTGCCTCTCGAAGGAAGACGTTTCTGCTCTACGACACGGCACAGTGTTCATAGTTATCGGGACTGGACTCATGACGAACAACGATCGGAGGCTAAGGGGATATGTTACGACTCTGTTCCCCCTCGAGAGATTATCAAGCCATTACGCATGCGTTTTTTTACACATCACGGTGAGGTGTTCACATTATCATTGTCTATATACTAGAATTTATTATGTTAGAAAGAAAACACCTACATCCACACACACCATCAACACACCTGAGTCCTTTACACCACACACAGACTTTGGAATGGCAGTTGGTTCCATGCAAACCTGAAATCTCTCATGATTGTTCACCAGTATCATATCTTTCATAGTCTGTCATTGGTCTTTATTGGATAACCTGCACTTGTACTCCCATTTTTCTACTTAGGACGAGTGGAACAGAACTGGGATATCCAAGGCCTTTACAAATCTCTTTATCACTGAGGCGTTGAAGATACTCGAGGTTCTCCATTTGCCCTGCTACAATCATGTGACAACTCTTGTATTATTGCCAAAGAAAAAAAGCAAACTATGAGTACTATTTAAGCAGTCAAAGTTGTGGTATGGAGAGCTGTTGTTTTGGAACTGCTGCTGCTGCGGCTGTTGCTGCTACGATAGTTGTGCAAATGATTCAAGGAGGAAAACATGGACTTTGTGGTTAACAACAAACGTCCTTTGCGCAAATGCTATAGTTTGGCAAATGATCGCTGTTGATTGAATGGTTAGAAAACATACTGCTCGATGCATAACGAAGAAAAACTATGGCAGCGGTCGAAAACACTGGAATGGGGAATGTAGGGCAGTAGTAGCAGAGAGATTTCATCAAACAAAACATAGTTCAGGGTGTACTTTGCAAACATACATGTTTCAATATTCACATTTTTTTTTACTTTTCAAAACAAAATATAGCTCTTCTCTTTCATTATAATCTTTTTTAAAACATTAATTGCATATAACATTTTTTAGTTCATTTTATATATTCTTTTTTTTGTATCTCTAGCACCCTTGTCTTCAACTAAGGGCTTGCAGAAAAGACAGTCATGCAAACTAGTCATGCTGGTAAACAAAGTTACAAAAATGCATTATCTTTTTTTTTTCATTTGTTTATCTCAGCGTCCATCCTTTGTCATCCCTGTGTCTTTATCGGCAAGAGTCGGTCATTGCTCATTGTCTTTCAAAAAACATGTCCCCAGTGCTTGTGGTGAAGATGAATTCACCCACCCCCCATACATCCCCCAAAATATTCACTTCCAATCTTTTTCCAGAACTTTGACTGCATTTCATGATGCCACATTTTCTATTAACATTTGCATCTCTTTTTTTTTTTTTCTCGTCTCTTCCGTTCTGGACCTATTCTGCTCAGAAACTTCCTCCGCAGCTATGGTTTGTTTATCAAAATATAGATTTGTTCTCTTTGTACACTTCCACTCTTGGTCCATTTCTTCTCATTTTCCCTTTGCCTCAGGGCTCCCCTGATGGGCCATCCTTATCTTGACATCGACTTGCCTCAGAAGCAGTTGTTGGCAGCAAGAAGGACAAGAGAGAGATGGGGCAGTATTCAACTTGAGATTCTTGTGCCTAATTGGCAGTGTCGGCCTTACGTTAGGAGGAGCGTTTATCTGATTGGTCCCTTTCAAACTGATAAAACAGAATTTCCAGCTAATGGACAGTTTTATGTGACGTAAAAAGTGTCCTTGCGGCAAGGACGTCCTTTTTGTTGTACTTTAGGCAGGCCAATATCCTTTGATATTAAAGACTGACAATTGTCTCAAATACTTTTGTTTCGTCTCCTTGAGTCTTTTTGCTCTTTGTGACTGAGCACTGCGTCAGTCAGACATGGGAAAAATACTTGTAATATTTAAATGTGCACGTGAGATGCTAGTGGCAGTTAAAGTACTTTTAGAGGAATGTGTTTGTACCAAACAGAGGCAATGGGCAGTGTGAGGGTGAGTACAAGCCTCATCCTCAATGGAATATTCCTCTTAATCTATACTATACATTACAGAAGGTCATTCAGCAAGCGCTTGCTACAGGACCTTTGGTATTCCACATAGACGTTCGGCCAAGCCCGTGTCAGTACATGAGAGATAAAGAGAAGTCTTTTCCCACCATTTTCTTTTGGTCAATGTTTCAGGTGAGTCTAATGGACAGTAAATGCCATACACCACCTGTTTGAGCTGATGCTACATGTGCTTCATTTGATCAACTTCATAGTTAGTGCTGTTTTTGATTATCGGTAGTCGTGAAGAGGGCAGTGATTCAGTCTGATAGAAGAGAATGGAAGACATAGGTTCAGTGGCAAACATGCTATACAAGTGCTAAACTTGAACTAGGGACTATAGTGTGTGTGTTGGTAAATACTGTGCATTTGTGATTGATTTCATATGCACTGAAAGACCAATCCTTTGTCTCTCATGTACTCTATTTCTTTTTTCTTCACTGGAAAGGAACCTAAGAGGAAAATGACATCTAAAAGATCCCTCGAATGCATAAATTCCTCTCTCTTCCAACTGTCGATGGATAAAGTCAAGTTATTTCCCAGCCAACAAATGCTACAATATGTTAGCAGAGATGCTACATTGTTCATTCAGTCCTTTGTGAAGAAGAGTGGTTTTTTTTTCGGAAACGTGTGAAGTTGCTCAGTTGTTCAGCACTGTAGACGGTACCGAGTTGGTCATCCTACAAGATGGCGAGTATAATGTTGTCAGAGAGATGTCATCTGGAATGTGTAATCAGGAGTCCTTTTCGCTCCCAAAAGTGTGTCAGTGCAATGCTCAGTCAGTTTTCAGAAAAAAAGGGAAAAAAAGGTCAGTTGACAAAAATGTGGTCGGAGTTCCAAGAGGCCGCTTTGGTAACAACGTGAGGAGCAGACCATGTGATTATTTAATTCATGATTAACCTCTGGTCTCTCTCTTGTCACCCCAAAGATCTCCTTTAAACCGTCCATCCGTGTCACACTTGACGCTTACGTGGCTCCCGCCGCAAATTTGTGTTTACCGGTTACCGACTCCTCATTAGAGAGAAGGCGAATGCTAGAAACTTAACACTGTGAAGACAAGAACAGAAAGCCATTAATTTGAAGTTCACAGAGAATCATCAGAATTTGTAAGAAATCATGTTCAAGTCAAATTGAAACTTAACTAAAACTTGTAACATTACAAGCACTAGATTGGTTTATAATAGAGATCCACTAATACAAACCAATCTCATATTTTGGAATTTGCCAATTACATTGTTTTTAATAACACAGTTTTTATGGTGTAACTAAAATTTTGTACAATAGGGGAAGTAATCAGGGATTACCATTACCTGTAAACTGCTGGTTAACTGTGCATGTCAGAATGAAGTGCACACATTTAAACTGTAATGACAACTCTAACACAGCTAAAGAAAACAGTCTATCTCAACCATACAGTACACAAAGTTGGCACAGAAGTTATTCTTGAAAATCAAAATCAAGAAATGGTGACAATAAAACTGGTGGCAGACAACATTAGAAAAAACAAACAGTAGACTGAATGAAACAAGCTGCCAGCCAACTGACCAGCACCGCGCTCCCACCTCTGCCAAACCTCCGCAAATCATCGTATTTACAGTTGTGAATTATGTACAGACCATCTCGAACAAGATTAGGTGATGAGTTATTCACTAATGTGTGTGTGTGTGTGTGTGTGTGTGTGTGTGTGTGTGTGTGTGTGTGTGTGTGTGTGTGTGCGTGCAATCATTTTAATTTAAATGATATGTACAAAAAAACACTTTCAACAGATGGACACATACAGACATACTGTACTCAATGCTGTTCATGGAAGTTTTCAAATCTAAAAGAAGTAAAAGAATTACACATCGGGCTGACACCATTTCAGGAGGCTTAACCCCCAACTGCAGCGACACGTCATGCAAACACAGGTGCAAATTCAAGAAAATGTTTGTCACCAAGAGTAGGTTGAGCATTGTCAAATCTTTGCCGACACTTATGGCAAACAATTCTTGTATCACATGTGCTGGCATCAGGCATTATTTACTGGGAGATTAAACACTTCTGTTGTGGTCTCATCAGCAAACATCAAACCAATATAAACATCATCCTTTATTGCAGCCGCATTAGCTCTTCGTCTGCTCTTCGTTTCACCCTCTTCCTCTGACAATTTCCACTGTATAGTTGCAGTTTTCTCCAGAGCTGTTAGCAAGACCGTTGTATGGTAATTGTTAGGGATTTAGTCAACCAAGAATAAAAGTCCTTCATCTACAGTATCTGCCTATCCTCATCGAACCCACCATGCTCACCCATTAAGCACAGACTTTGTAAATTGAAACGCAGAGGCAATGCCATGCCTCGTCATACAAATCTTTTCAAGAGTAACAGGACCTTCTCCTTTTGTCAAATGCATGAATCTTTGTAATTTCTCAAATATGTCCAGAATCTAAGTGCCAGATATATAAATACCTGTACGTTATATGCCTTCTTCTGTGTTGCACTTTTCACAAAACCGTGCACATTTACACAAGTCTAAAGACACACCACAGTCTGTTTGGGCACAACCAGACTTTTCTGTCTCCTGGCACCAACAACATCCTGACACAGTGCCAAAGCTGCCTTCGTGTTGTTACACACTGCCATTAAGCACTGGTGCTGTGAATCATAACAGCTTATTGATTGATGATACTAGTCGGTCCAGCTTCTTGGTGAACTTCTTTGATTAATGTATTGTTGCCTCAAGAGGATTGATAGCTTGCTTTACCTCACGTGTGCCCCGCATTACATTTGTTTGTCTAGTTCTATATCATTATATCACACTCATTTAGTGGATATTACATGCTATACTATGCAAGATAGGAACACACAGAAGTTTAACTGGTGTCAATCTCACCGACAACTCAAAGTTGATCAAACAACATTTCCTCCACTTCTTATCACAAATGAAACGACTGTACTTACAGTACAGCAGCTTTTAGTATTCCTTTGCTTGCTAAATCCAAATACAATAGTGAAACAGTATCACAATACCAACCATTTAAATATTTACATGTACTGTACATTTATATTCAATATAATACAGTGCACTTAGTTCATGTAGAACCAGCTCTTATCAAAGCAAACAACAACGAGCCAAGAACGCACTCAAATTGTTCCTTTGTCATTGCAGCTGAATTAATAATGGTATGCTGTGTAGAAACAGTACTGTAAAAACAATAAACAAACAAGCTTTTTGTTCTTGAAATGCATACTCCTATGAAAGCCAGGTTAAGTGGTGTAGGTAGGTTAGTTTGGCACTTCATTGAGCACTGCAAGATAAAACCTTTCTGATGATAGATTAAATCATTTGTTATGAAACGTCCAGCGCCCCGCACTCACAAAGTATACATCGATACATTCATTCTGCATGACTTTAATGTATTCACATGTGTAGATACAGATATGTACATATTCAATAATAACTACTGACCTATTACGCATTGCTTGGAAGGTTTAGCTAGTTAAATCTAGCTAGTTTGCATGAACTCCTAAATTGACATCAGAGCCTACGAGGGCCTCATAGAGGCACTTCCAACATCTGCCTGTTTCATTTACTTAAACAATGTGTACGTCACAGTGTCCTACAGTGAGTGACTTGCATCGGCCACAACTATGTGATAGGACTCTTTAAGATCAACAGAACCACAATTATGACATTCTTCAGATTCAGTGTTGATACAATACAAAGCAAATATAAACAAATACAGTACTTCTTTCGTCATAAATGTTCAAATGAAAGCAGTGGTGTGTGAGACTGAACAATTCATTGCAGATATATAAGATGGACATTTCCCTTGACTGTAACAGAAAATGTACATTCCAAAATAAAGTGGCATACCAGTATCATTTAAAGTATCGCAAATTGTTACATCCACATTGTGGAGTCATTTTAGGATGATACAGTATGCTTGTGCGCTTAGACAGGTTTCATGAGGTTTGTGCGCTGAAGGAAGTGATGCTAACAAAAATACAGACTAATACTCAAGTGTGCTGATGTGGACTCAGATTACCTTTGAGGATTGAACCCACGTCAATCAATGTGTGTAACTGTACTCGTTACAGTTTCACAAAAAACATTTCCTGCTCGTGAAATCAACTTAAAAACATACTATCCCAGAGTTTCCCTTCCTTCCCTTAGTTTAGGTTGACATTATACATTAAGGAGATGCTGTCAAACAATGCTTGGATTCACTGGAGACACAAAGCTCTGCATGCTGTTTCAGATATTTTCAGACGACACAAAATGATTGTCATTTTCTGACATCACAATGGTGAAATGTAACAATACTGAGTATAAGCACGACTATTAGCAACTTCGGTCTGAAGATATGTGCGATGGCCTTCGAAAACCCGTATCAAACAAAGCCAGCCAATCGTTACTTCTTGCAGTGACTGTGGTGGGATCTATTATAAATGAGACACTACAACTTGTACACACCTCTCAAAGCCCAGTCGACAACAGAATCAACCAAACATTCAAGTGATGTCATAGTTCTCATCCTGAATCACAATACTGCATATCTAATTTCTCAAAGTTGAAGAGTCTGGAAGCACATCGATTTTTAGACATGATGGTAATCGGGACCATAGATTATGACAGTAAGAATTTCAGGACCTGACTCTCTAAACAGGTAAATACTCTAAATACTCTCTCTTTACACCTGCGAAAAAATGTTGTCTCAAAAGAACTTACAGTTTGTCCTCATGATTTTAGTCTTACTAAATTTTTCTTTTTTAAAGAACCTAAGCACAGTTAAATACAACATCGTATCTTTTTTCGAGAAATTCTATTTTAGACAATCAGTAGTACAGAAAAGGCATTCCTCACAATGAAATACACATTACCAGTACAAGTGAAAAAAATATAAAACTATTACAAATCTAAAACAATTAGAAGTGGCAGTCACAACATCAACAAGTTCACAGGACCAGTAACAATGACTTTAAATAAAACAGGACAAATGGCTCATGGTGTCATTGTAATACTCCTCGAACAGCTGAATCAAAGATTACAAGTAAACAAAGTCTGTGCATTTTTATGATTAAAAATAGATCTGCATATTTATATATGTATGTGCACAGCATGTTTTCCAGCATTAAAATAATATTGCATGTTTATTGCATATGTGAATGAGTCACTATTCTTTTTTTAATCTTTTTAGCTGAACTTTTACATAAGATGTATTTCTATGTGAGAATGGCAGTCTGAGGAAAAACCTCCATTACAAAAATAAAAGCTATAAAACAGATTGTTCATTTTAAATTATTCAAGGGAATGGTATATTGTAAACAATGTTATATTTCTTTATAATTAATATAATTAATAGATTGCATTTTGTATTTTTTCTTTTTCAAAACCATTTTAGACAAACATTTAAATAGAAAGTTTAAAACTAATGGAAAAAGTATTAATAAAAACGTAAAAATGAAGCAGAAGAGATATTTAAAAAAGCTGAACATCCTTAGAGAGAGACGTTTGATCAGGTAGTCTCAAATGTTCAACCTAATAATTTGTTGTAATATGGTCTGTGTCTTATCCCAACATGCAGACGTTAAAGGTTAGTAATAACATTGACTGTTAGTAAAGTGCTTGTATTTGTTTACGTATGTTATTAATCATGTATTCATCCATATCTGACTTTATAAGTAGCTATATTTGATGTAGTTAGTTTATGTATTATTTCTGAATACATTGTAATTCGATTTCTTTGAAAGATTATGGGTCTACATAGAAGTATATATTTCATTTACATTACTTTTCTGATTAACATTTTAATAATGTCCACTCAGTCATTAACCATCATCAAAAATAAATGTATCTCTAACGATGGGATCGCTTAATTGTGCTATTTTACCAAAGACCCAAAACTAATTGGGTTTATAAGGTAGTGTGAAGTTCAAACATTGAATGACATTAAGTCATTAGGTTTTGCTAACAACCAGCATTGTATATTAACAAGCCGACATGTCAGAAAACTATTGCACGTAAAAAAGAAAAGCATTGATTTAAAAAAAATGTTCTGCTTACTGTTCATCTGTCGACTGCAAAGACCTTTGAATGCTTCATTTCCTACGTATCAAATCATATTTCATTAGCTCGTCTTACATGTAACAACTTAGTCTCCCATCTCCAACTAACCTCCTCCTAATCCCTCCTTGTTAAACTAAACCTGTGCCCTTGTCAACAACTAAACGGTTGCAAATTTTAATAAATTATTTTATATATATATATTTTTGGGGCATATGATGAAATTCATATTTTTGTTTGGGAATATGATTGTTTTAATTGCATATGATGCATTAGATGTTGATAGATATGTAGAAATGTAAGAAACAACATGCTTGCAACTGCTAAAGAAAGAATCTGAATAGACCTTTCTTTAACTGTACACCGGAAGGTAGCAATTGCATACATGGGATCCTGACAGCAATGTAATAAAACAAACTACACGGTACAATATTTGTGTTCTTTTCATTTAAGCTAAGTTTTTTGTTTTACATTTTTTGACACCTCTGTGTAAACTATCACCATAAAGTGTCCAATGATAAAATGAAGTGTTATTACCAGGTCTTATAGAAGCTGTCTCGGCTGTCTTTTGATAAAAAATACCAAAATGATGTCTACGCTGTAGGCTACATACATCAATATTTACAAAAGACAGGAAGTAGAAACCTTTTCAACATCAATCTTATCTACAAATGTCTTCATGTCTTTGGCTAAATGAACTGAAGTATCTCATTTCATGGTCATTTATCTGGACAGTGGTAAGAGCTTTTTGTTTGGTCCAGAACATTTAAAAAAATGGATGTCCACCTACACACTTAATCCTAAATTCTATAATGTAACTGTGCACTTGTTTTAATGTTGTTTTAATCTCAGCTACTATTTTATTTACTAACCCATCCAAATCTTATTTATTTTTTACATTTTCTATGATCTAAAATAACAGTGTACACTTTGTATTCGACCCCATCAGCTAACCTGATTCATGCATCATAAACCATTAGATTCACAAGACAAGGGGTCATTCTTTCTACATTCAAGTTCATTTTACGTTATTGCTATTGTTTTTGCACGGTGTACAATCCAAATGGAGGCTTTAATGCGGTCAGTCCACAGCTAATCCACGGCATCTGTTAACATCCAATCAGGAACATCCTTTTTTTTTTTTCGCTACAAAATGGAGGGGATGGGGGAGCGACAGCGGCGCAGTGGTCCTGGGGCCTCATAGGTTTCAAAGGGTGGGCTAGTGATGGGAGCAAGCCGCAGCGATGACCCAGCCATTCCCGATATGTTATTGAGACTGCGAGATTTCTCGTAGCCCGTTGCTTTAATAAGAAAATAATTTGAATCATCGAAGCATTCATTAGATTATATTATTTGTGATTGATATCGAATACCAATGAAATAAAAGGAAATCGTGGTTGAGATGTGTTGGCATGTTATGACAAATTTTGCATATTCAGGTGGTTTGTTATGAAGATTACACAGCATTGGTTTAAGATGTTATAAGAAGAAATCAAAATCCAAAAAGAATCACATAAGTGGAGAGAAAAAATTAAGGGTAAGAAATTGTAAATGTTATCAAATGATAAAGACATATAAAGGACAGACAGGGACAGACACACACAAGACAGACAAGACAAGACAAAACAAGAAAATGCGAGTTATGATATGTCTTTTTTTTCAAAACAGAAAAGCAAAAGTTTCTTTGATATTAAGAGTTTTAACTCCTATAATAGGCTACCAGTATACAGTTTAACACAAAAACAAGTAGTAAATGCATAGATATCACTGATACAGTGTAGGAGTTGACCACATGATGTTCAAGGTGAAAAAGTTTAGACCACCAAAGAAGTTATGTAGAACAATGAATTGCCTTGCATTCGACTTTATAAACAGCCCATTTATAATTTGCTTTGGGTTCCTGTAAACTTCAGATGGCCAACACAACAATGTTCTCCCTGCAACATTTAAAAACACTTCCTATCCCCCAGTAATAGCATCCTGTAATGGAGATCAGTTTGTGTTTTGTTACAGTGGGAAATGACACGGCCCACTTGTGCAAGTGACTTTAGAGTATAATACATGTACTTGAACGTAGGTATACAAAACCAATTCATCTAAGAAATAACACATTGGCTTGTGTGTCCTTTCCCGCTGTATTTATGTGTAACAGAGCATGCAGACGTTGAATTTCCCCTGTAGCAAGGAGTGCATCAGGTGAAGTGGAAAACAACATTGTTAGGTAGCAGTTAATCTGCCCTATCAATGGCTAACTGACCCATAATGGATGGAGTTTTACAGTTTTATTAGGAATGTGATACATTAGCTGAAATTTAACTTGGATGTAATGCAATAAATCTGCAATGCTAACAGAGATTGTGACTAAATTAACAAGTAAGTGTATATTTTTTGTCAAACTCCAACCATCGCAAGGCCACTGTCAGACAACAAAGAGCACCCATTGCTTCAGTATGCCGCCCTTTGTCCTTCCTGCTGAAATGAAAAAAATAATAATATTGTGGTGCACAGTCCACACTCTAGATTACGCATCATTTGAGCCAACTATATGAAAAAGTCCTTTTTTTTATTCTGACTAGCTCAGGCGCATTAGTCGGATGGCAACTCAGTAAAATATTGATGATACATTTTTCAGTGGGTTTCATAAGCTGCATGTCCCACAAATATGTCTGAGAAGCTGTCTGGTCAATCTGTGGTTCTGCTTCAATCTCAAGTTTAGTTCTACCACCCAAATGTATGGAGACACATTGTCAGGTTGCATCAAGTGGCAGCCATGTTTGTGATGCTGAATCACAGGAGAGAAAGAAAAACAAACAAACCTGTTTTTAATAGCAGAAGTACAATAAATGCTAGTATGCGCAGACAAAAGAACTTGGAGGTGGATATTGTGAATCTTAAATTAACATTATCTGATAAACCCTTCACCTGGCCCAAATGAACAGAGACACAATCCTTAAGATTTGGTGAAATCAAACTTTGTTTTTGATACAAATGTTTGGTCTGCCTTTTTTCGTCAATGTCGATTGAATACATTGAACGCATCCAGTAGTTACCTCTCTATAGTAGCTTTAATTGTTGGTGGTGTACTCCACCATTCCTGTGCTGGTTTCACATTGCCTTCACGTACACAAGAGTTTCACAGGAAATAGTGTATGCATGTAATCCATCTTAATTTGATCGAATTCATACCAGCCTTGTGCTCTCTGACACCGTGTCAGAGCCACATTCAATTGCTGCAATGCAACCAACTGTTGCTGTTTCACATTAAAAGTTAGAAACGTCTTGATTTTGCCATTAAAATAAGTTTGTCTTTTTTTAAAATAAAAAAATATACATATATAGGGTATAACAATATAGACAACAAATTGACGATGTAGAGGGAACCTAGTAGTATTTATTTAAACTGTCATAGTAATGTCCCAACAGCTCAAATGTGCAAATATTATGCTTTACTTGGGTGCTATCGATTAACGATGACGAGTATTCACTATGGGAGTTCACATCAATAAAGTTGGAAAGTCCGTTATGCAGTTACAACAAAGGGCTTTGATTCGACTGTGAAATTCCGTTGGTTCTATTCTTCTGCATGCAGAGTGAAGAGAGAAAAATTAAGGGAAGAGTACACACTGCTCACGCGATAAAAAGACTAAGAATACTATGCTTCATATACATTATGATCTTCAAACATAGTAAGACGCAACTGCTAAACCTATAGGTGTTCATGTTTGCTGTTTTAAACTCTATATTTGATATTGTCTCTGTTGCTTTAAACAAATGTCCTTTAATTTTCTCTTTTTAGTCTCAAACCAAAGGATTTAAAACACTTCTCAAGTGTGATATGAGTAAAATATGTAAAAAGGAAAAAAAAGAGTTCCTCTCTGATGACAGGATGAAGGTGAAACTGATGAAGAATAATGTAGATGCGTCAGTAACGTGGTTCTGATGATTTTCCGATATATGTCAGTGACCGGTTTAAAGTTGGCTGATTGGTACATCGGTTTGCTTCTGCTGATGTATGAAAGTATTGCTTGGTCAAATTCAAGATAACGATAGTTCTCAGAAATGACAATAAAAGCGCTGATAAAGTTAATCATGTCTCAGCCACTGCAGTCTGTCACGGTCTGCTAGCTTCCTTCTCACTGTGCTAAGTACTGTATTTACAACATCAACAGGGGTTTTGTGCTCTGGGGGTCATCTATCAGGGGAATTAGTGAGTCTGGCTGTCACTGCAGTCAGTGATGACATAATTCCTGCCCAAAGTCACACTTAATTTACACTACGAAGGGAGTACGTACCTACAGTCAGACTTTAGTTACACTTGCACTGAAGTGGTGGCCTGGGAATGGGATGGAGAATGAGTGTTAATCACAGAAGGAGGAGGTAATGGAGAGGGAAAACACAGAGGAACAGAGAGAGGAAAAACTGCAAATATTCTGACCAGACTGTTTACCAAGGAAATGATCATTTAAAATGAAAAAGATTGGATAGGCTTAATAGGCTTAATCATTCTTGTATGTGTGTAAAAGGCAGAGAGCTATTTGACTGTCGCTATTATGTAAGCTGACATATGTCCTATAATTGTATGAGCGCGTGGAGGACACAGGACTTGCTGACTGTTCAGATGCTATTCTTGGAACAACCCCATACTGTATCCGTCTTACATGGGATCCATTGCCTGTTAAAGACGGTGTGATCTCCTGTTACCCATTATTAGATGTATCGGTGTCCTCATGACCAGTATAGAAGCCACAATGTGTCCATACAGTACATATAGAACCTGGGGTGTCTTGATGACATGCAACCTGCCTCCTCTTGTTAGCGGTATGTAGGTCTTACAGACCCATATGCGTCAGCTGTGGTCATTGAAGCTCAAATCCATTTCAAATGTGATACTTCTCATTCATATACATACATATTTATTTATAAGTTGTTTTTTTCCTTTGTAAGAAGTAAGTAAAAATCTGGCTGAGGCAAAAGAATATTTACGGGTTTGTTGTGATGAGGCAACATTGAAAGAAACAGTAGTATTGTTCCGCACATTAGGACATGCAAGACAATGGAGGACAAGTTTTACATACCGAGTACACTGACACGTTTTCACACAAAAGTAGCTAGGGAGTTGAATTTAAAGGTATTATATTTTATTTAGTTGTAGCCTGTTGTACTGAGCCACTTAACATAATAACTGTCTACAACAGAAATTGTCTGTGATGAATAATTTTGCGTGAGCACAAGCAAAAAAAACAACAGATGTGTTGTGGTGGCCAGTAAGTGAATATTATAAAACCTTTGGTCTTGAAATATAATTCCACCACCAATCTCTCCTAATTAATGTCCTAAATATGAATATTATAAAACTGCGTAAACAAGGAGTGGGATGAGATGTGGATGGAGAGCGAATGCGCCCGTCTTACTATAAAAGTTTTTTACTTAAAACTTTCTTTTTCATCTTTTTCATATTATGGCTTCAGTTGAATTTAGTAATGAATAATTAGGTTTTTTCGTCAAATAAGTTCTTGGAAATGTCCTGAACCAGTGAGATTTGTGCCAGTTTTTTTGTTAATAAATTCACTGTTGTGTTGGCAATTTCCTTTTATCATTCCAATCCACAGAAGACAGATAATAGGTGACAGTAAAACTCAAAGGAGAACACAGGAAGAACATAGGGGAAATCGAAACATCAAACAACAAAACACAATTGTACAAAACTCAAAGACTTAAAAAAAAAGAAAAAAAGACCATAACCACAGACCCAAATATATAAATTTAAAATAAATCTAACGTAATCTTAGGCACATCAAAAATATAAAGTGTTCACACTACAACACAAAACTCAACATAACCACAACATAATACTCCACAAAAATAGGTAATGAAAGACGTACAAACCAAGTTAGAAACACAGGACATTAACACACAATAAATAAAAGAAATAAAAACAACTCGTAAACATATAGTGAGGAACTGAAAGGAGAGAATGTGGAGAGGGAGAGAGACAAACGAGGCCCTTGAAGAAGGTCTAGAGGAGTGATTGGGAGTGGGCAATCAAAGGGGTGATTGACCGTTTGACCTTAGCGGGACATGCATATTGCATTGGGTGCGTAGGAAGTCAAATGGCCAACAATCAAAGAGAAGAAACTGAAGAGGTAATAAAAATAAGTTTGCAAAGACATCTTATGCGAGTATCTACAAAATAAATCACAACTGAAGCACACAAGAATAACTTTTAGACAGCGTGAGAATCCCTCTTTAAAAACAAGGAGGAGAATGTTTTTTCATCAGAGGAGAACAGGGACGTAGCATAAACCCAATGGGTTGTTTTTTACTAATGTTGGTGCGCTAGCCGTCAGGAAGGTTATATGTGTATCACAGGGCTGTATACATGAGATACTGTATATCAAATGCTAGAGAATCAGGTTGCAGAGATGGCAAACAGATCAAATGTCACTGGTATTTACTGTAAGCACCAAGTAAAATCTCTTTGTCCAGTGCACAAGACCTCAACGTCTTAAATATTATAGATTACAGATCCATTATAGATCCCCAATCGAAATGTATGAATCACAGTGCAGCCCAAAACCCTGAAGCTTCAGCATAATGACACTTGTTGTCTTCAATGGACTCCTGATTTGCTTTAAAGAGGGATTTTTATAAGACTTAAATTGCAGTTCATACATAAGAACCATTGAAACTGAGAGCAATGTCAGGGACCTGTAAGTGAAGGACTCGGAAAGCTCCAGGCTTGCTTACCTTAGACAACATGTAGCCACTTTTCAATCAAATCTGTCAAAGCGCTTGTCTGTCTGTCTGGTAAATAAGTGTTTCAGTCACCGAGTGCAGCTCCTAATCCTTTTGATTTCTATCCAGGCCTCCACAGCACAAATACAAAAGGTCCTGATCTTTGGACTACACTAGAAAGCACAGATACGTGGTCTAGGGAGTAGTATTTCAGATCCATTACACGCTCACAACACAGTATTTTTTGTTGTAAAGAAGTATAGCGATAACTGGCCTTGTTTACAAAGCTGAATTAAGAAACGACATTAACAGTTTAAAATATTTGCTTGTTTTCAGCGTGGCATGTTTCAAGAGGTACTATCCCTTGACCTGGATGGCTCTACTGACCCCAGTGACCTTAGGCCTTGGAAAGATGATTGTCATACAACACTTCACTCAGTGTCACAACAGTGTGAAACTATCAAGGCTGGCCAATTGATTTGACATAAAATACTGCATATGTACATGCAATTGTGCCCATCTTTGAGCCTGAAATGTATTCTAGAATAGAAGGATTAAGTGCCATTGAGTATGTTTGACCTGTGCATGAGTACATGTACATATATAGATTTAAAAAAAAAAAACTGTAGAAAGAGTTTGTTGTTAAGGCAAAGCCTCTCTAAATTGCAGTGAGTGCTTTTGTTTGCCAAGGTGGAGGTCCGTGGGGTAAGGAGTAACACGAGTAAACACAGTAGAAGGGAAAAACAAAATTAAGCCACACACGACAACACAAACACAACACTCGGCATTGAGAGGACAGAGACACAGTGTATAACACGTAAGAATGAAAAAGCCCACATACACACGCGTGATATGACACAACCTGAAGAGAGAGACAACAACAACAACAACAACACAGAGGCACGTCAGACAACAACATGGCCCGCTGCTTCTGTTCAATCTTCTTCAGTGTTATGTTTTATTAGTTATTGACACAGGACACGACAACTGGGTTATTTTCATTTGAGCTGCTGGATGTATTAGCACATATACACTTCCCACGTGGATGCGCTCTTTGCACTCATGACTCTGTGCAAGTTGTAAGCTCTCACACAAGTGTACACTTCTCTGTGCACACTTCTTATTGTGGGTGTCCCGATATCACAGACCAATCCCATTTTCTTTTTTAAAAAATGTGTGTACATTGTTTATAGAGATTGTCGCTGAATTCACAATTTTTTTTATGCAGTTAGGATATTCGGCTGAGGTTGGGTTTCATCGGATAAGATACCTCACAAATCAGACGCACCCTAAAATGCCACCCAAATCTTGATATTCAGATTCAAGCGCTACCTAAACTTAGCTCAACCGTTTGCATTATTCGCTTGCTGTAAAACTGACAGCACACTTTCAGAAGGCTTTTCATGAGTGACACTTCAAACACTATTGAAAATGTAGACACAACATTGTGGATATGGTGATGTATCTGTGATCTGAAGTCATGCATAGTGTGTGCAGCTACATCTGTGTTTACATGCGTGTTGGAGTGTACTGCAGTTTGTGCAACTGCAAAACATGCTACGTGATGGAGAGCCAGATCAAAAATTCTGTATGTTTTCAGTCAAAAGCTGACTAGGCTAAGGGCTCCACTACTTTTTAACTTTTTGTCAGCGTTACCTCTGGTCTATGGTTTGATCCAGGAGGAGGTGGAGTTTGCATTGAGGTCCTGCTGTAACAGAGACCCTTCCATCTTATACCAATCCTCAGTCAGAGGGGAGTCTGGGCTGGGTGCCAGGGCTGCTGCCTCTAGTTTGTTGTCAACAAGGGGTGTTGAAAGTTTGGAGGGAGTGTTTTGGTGCAGGTTGGCGGCAGTGGTGGTGGCTGAATTGCAGTAGTAAAATAATAAAAGTGTCAGGATTTTATGAGCATGAAGGTAATGCACATAGGGGGGAAAAAAAGGGGGGGGGGGGGGGGGGGG